TAAAACGTGCAGACAGCTGACTGTGAAGAATTTAGGATCTGCTAAATTCTTCTGGGCTCTTATTTACCATGGATGGCATTGCATTATTTCCTGCTCACAACTAGACTGTGATGATTTGACTTCTGCTCAGTACAAAAGCCCCCAGAACAAGTTTGCAGCACAAAAGTACTGAGCAACCTGGGTAATCCACCATGCTCATCACAAGGGACTTCCATGCACATCCATGGAATGGAACAGTTCAATTGAAAGGGATCTACAGTGATCACCCAGTCCTGACCACTTCAGGACTGCAGGACAAGGACAACCTCAACAAGGACAGACCTCATCAGATGTGCCAAAGCAGCAGCACCTTCCTCTGACCCTCTGCACCAGTTCAACACAGGGCTCACTCTTACACTCAATATCTGTGCTAAGGACAGTCATCTGCAAAGTTTTCAATATTTCCTTGGGGATTTGGGAGCACCTGAAAGCCACCGTGCAGGACACACTTGCAGGTGGACAAGACAAACATAACAATGCCAAAACAGGAGCACTCAAAGCAGAGGCCACAGAGCGCTGATGGCTTCAAGGCGTTCCTACCTCCATCACAAAGACTTCTTATCTCACAAATTACATTCCCAAAGCAACGGTACAAAGTCTTTCTCTCCATCTGAATCACCCAGCTATCAATCAGATGACTTTTTGTCACTTGGCCACTGTCGAGTATTGCAGAGCGCCTCTAATCCACCCACCCAGGGCTGTTTTTTTTTCAAGCAATTTGCTGTTTAATCGCCACCTGAAGGCTTGAGCCATCCTCCCAGCCCGCAGGAGCTGGCCTGGGCACAGGCTGTTTGCACAGCAGCCCACGCAGGAGCTGGGCCAGCTCCTTCCAGGATCTGCTGGAGCCGCCGGGCACGGCGCGCTCTGCCAGCCGGACTTTGGCCCAGGCAGCTTCTGAGCCAAGCCTGGCTCAGCTCCACCCCGGCTCACTGCTTGCTCTTACAGCTCCTTCTCTCCCTGGGCTGCATGTCCCAGAGTGCAGAGGATAAAAGCAGACAGGCTCTTGCAGAAGTGACAATCAGCTCTGCATAAAATGGTGCCCGGCCTGGGGTTTAACTCAGGAGAGCAGAACCAGCCAGAGATGCTCATTAAAGTCTGAGCCACTTCATCTCCACTAACATTTATAGTAGGGTCTTCCAGCATAGGAAAAAGGTGTTTGGGGAAGGCATTTGGGAGCTGAACCCCCTCTTTTAAAGGGTACAGGTATATCTTTCACTTTTGACCTCTAAATGACTCAGAAAGCCCAGGTCAAACCCTCTGGGCTCCTTTCACAGACATTCCAAGTGCCCTGGGAACAGAAGCTGGCACCTGAGACCAGACACAGCGATGACATGCAGTGCTGTGTCCCCATCCCTGGTCACAGACACAGGGGTGTAGAGCTGCAGGAGTCCCCATCATGGGCCAGGCTGATGCTGCTTCTTCCCCCATCCTGCTCTCAGCCAAGCCCTGTGGCTCCAGGGGAAGATCCTGGAACAAATCCTCATTGCCAAAACAAAGCAGGGAGCCAGGTACCCCCTGCCTGCAGCCCCTCTAGAGTGTTCTTCCCGTGCCCCTCATGCCCATGCAACGGGGAACAGCTGCAGGGAACAGCTCCCCAGGGCCTTTGAAGAGCAAGGCATTGGTTTTTAAAGGAGATCTTAGCTTTTAATTTGTGTCATTAAAGATGAACTGAGACAGACTGGTTGGATCATAGAATCGTTAAGGCAGGAAAAGACCTCTGATATCATTGAGTCCAATCATTAACTCAGCACTGCCAAGTCCACCTCTAAGCCATGTCCCCAAGTGCTACATCCACACTGTTTTTGAACACTTCCAGGGATGGTGATTCCACCACTTCCCTGGGCAGCCTGTGCCAATGCCTGACCACCCTTTTGATTTGGGCACCAGCAGCATTTCAGTGACTAACAGGAAAATTACTTGGCTAGAGCAGATCAGAACTGCAGGGACAGACAGAAAACAAACAGAAATGCCCCCATATCCACACTCCTGCATGCTCACCTGCACTTTCACAGACAGAAAAGCCCTTATCTTGCCTGTCTGAGGCTCACCACAGCACTGACCACATCAGATGAAGGCTCATGCCACATGGGATAGGGGCCAGCCTGCAGAGACAGCATGGTTCAGGCACAACTGAGATGACATTCACCACCTCTGCATCTTACACTGCACTCAGGAAAGGCAGAAAAGGTGCCAGAAAGAAATGCTGAACTGCCCTGGCCTGTGGGAAAGGGGAAATGCTCCTTGGAGGGACTCACCAAAAACATTTGGTCACCAATTTCCCCTTGTGGAGGTTAAATATCTAAATAAATAAGGCCTGGGGACTGAAGGTGAACCTGCCAGGTTCAGTATCAGTGGGCCATCTATAGCTTTTCCCCCCTGCCTGGGGAATATTTAAATCCATATTCCACTTCTTATGGCTCCACACTGCATTTTCCATCTCCCCAGTGCACAGCTGACATTCTGCACATTTCTGTGCTTGGCCTGTGCCCTGTGCAAAGAGAGGAGTGGAAGGGACTGAGCCCAGCAGGCTCCTGCCATCGTCAGGCATCAGTGAGCACCATCCCTGTCCCCCACAGCTCCTCGCTGTAGGAGCCAGCCTGGAAAATGTTCGGCCACCTCCTGTGAAGGGCTGGCAGGTGGCAAGCACGTCCCTGTGCTGTGCTGCATCTCAGGATCTAAGGAGCCCAGAGATTTGCAGAGGGATAAAATGTGCTTCCTTAGGCCAGATGAACTGCACAGGTTAAACTGGAGTTAAGATTTTTTTTTTTTCCTTCATTTTCTTTCAGATGGTTCCTTCAGTCTGGAGAGCCAAGGCAGACTCCAAGCAATCACTGCCTCTTTTCTTCTACGTGCACTCCAAAGCCAGCCTGCCTTCCCCAAGCAGTCTAATAAAAGATATCCCTTCTTACAGCAAAGCCTGACTCACTTCCCTCCAGCCTCGACCAGCAGGTCTCCAACAGCAGGGCCAGACCCACCAGCAGAGAGGATCCTGCCAGCCCTCGCTCTCGTTCCCACGTCCATCTGGGAGAGCAGGCCTGGAAGCACATCACTTTCCATGCTGCAGCAGCACACTCCATCCCACGGCTCTGCCAGGGAGCCAGACACACCATGGCAGCCTCACCAGGCGTCTTCCCAACGGGGAAAATTCACAGAGCATCGAGTCCAAGCTGCAGGAGAAAATCACGAAGCATCGGGGAGCAGCAGGAACGTTCCGGACGGGACGGAGCCGCTCCTCTGGCTGCCGCAGGCGCTGGCTTTTCGCGACGGAGTCGCTTCGTCTGGGTGAAAATCCAGACCACGTCTCTCTGTGTGAGAACACTTCCCTCACAGGCTCTGACAGCCTCCAAAAAAATAAATGCATTGCCCATCAGCACACGTTGACATGGCAGAGCTGCGGGTTTCTGGTGGAGATTAAGGAGCCGTGGAAAAAACTGCGGCACCAAAACGCGTTCACACGAGGAAGGTATAAAAGGTCCTTTACATCCACATCCCACCAGGCTGGCAGCCCATCCAGCCTCACGTCCTGCCTCAACAGAGGAGCTTTTACAAGCTGCAAAACCTTCCCAGGGCAAAGGCTGTGCCCAGCTGTGGAGGTCTGCTCTGATCAGCAGGAGCCCTGGCAAACCTTGAATCCCTGTTTATAATTCATGTCAAATTAGGGGTTCTGGAAATTGGACCATCTGACACAGGCAGAACAAAGCCCCAAATGCAACTGATCTCATGCACACCTGAGGAGCTGCTTCCAAAAGCTGCACTCCATGCACAAATCCTGCATGGAACTACGTCAAACTGCACATACCAGACTGCAAATAAATCCAGAAGGTGTCACAGAAAGAAATTCCCCCCAACCATTCACTCTCACCAAAGAAGTGAAATAGCTTGACCCTGGGATCACTTAAGCCCTGCAGAATTCCCAAGCCTCCAAATCCCAAGTGAGCCAGGTGGTTTTGGCTCATGCACCAGCAACACATGCAAGACCCTTCCCCAAACCAGGAGCAGGTCCACTCCCAAAAACTACTTGATTACAAGACAGGAATTGAAGAGGAGGATAAAGGCAGCAGCCGAGGGAGAAGCCTCTCTCCGGGCTGTGTCAGGGCCAGCAAGAGCCGTACTTGGCCATCGTGCAGGACCTGCCCAGCTGCTCCCCGGCTCCCACCTCTGCTCCGCTCCTCCCGCACAGCCGCGCAGGGCAGGGGTTTGGCAGCACAAATCCTTCCTGAGCATCATCCCGGCTCGTGGCACAGCCCCACGGCAGCGGCTCGCTCCGTCCAGGTGGAAATCCAGCTTTCCCAGAAATCCAGCTTTCCCAGAAATCCAGCTCTCCCAGCTCCGCCGGCCACTCGCACCACGCGGGGACGGGCTTCGGGGAGCCTTCCTCCCCGCGCTCATCCCATCCTCACCGCTCCGGACGGACGGTGCAGGGAGAGCTCTGCAGGAGAGTGAGGGGTGGCCAAGAACCCCCGCACCTCCCTGGATGCTTTCCAGGGAGCACCCAAGTGACCACATCCCGAAACCGCTGGCTCCAGACGCCAGTGCATCCCAAAACGGGTACTGGAGTCTAATCCCGGCCGCTCGCTGTCAGCAGCTGCAGCTGGGACAGGCACCCAGGCGACAACCCGGGGAAAACAGCGACCCGAGAGCAGCAGCTCAAGGCGGGGGTGTGCGGGGAGCCCCGGGGAAGTGCAGTCCTTCAATCCGCTCCGCAGCCACGGACACGGCAAGCCGTGCTGGGGAGCACCCTTGGGGACCCCCCCACGGCTCCCCAAACACAGCCTCAGGGACGAGCTCCCACTTGGCTAGACTAGAAAGGAAGGAAGAAAAACCCACGGAAGCCAGACCCGGCTGCAAAACTCTCGGTCGCCGCTGCAGACAGTAAAATAATTAAAAGAACGAAACTATTCACGGAGGCTCGGAGCCAGCGCCCGCGGAAAGGGGGGCTGAGGACGGACGGACGGACTTACCGGGGTCACCCGCGGAGGGACATGCGGGGCTGGTGTCACCACGTCGGGTCCCAGCGGCTGGCGCGGCTCCGAACAGCTCAGCTCGGCTCGGCACCGCTCGGCTGGAACTCGGCTGGGGCGGCGCACAAAAGCGGGAGGAAGCGGTGACGCGCGGAGCCGCCGCGGCCAATGGGACGGGCACGGGGACGGGGGCGGACCGGCCCCGCCAGCCACCGACCGACCGAGCGAGCGGGGCCGGCCCTGCCCCGCCGCTGGGGGGCGACACGCGGGGCTCCGCGCCCCGGGGCAGCTCCGAAACCCGGGGGCAACTCCGACCCTGCGGCGGCTCCGAAACTCGGGGGCAGCTCTCAAATCCTGGGGCAACTCCGACCCCTGGGGCAGCTCCGAAACCCGGGGGCAACTCCGGCCCCGCGGCAACTCCGACCCCCGGGGCAACTCCGCGCCCCGGGGCAGCTCCGAAACCCGGGGGCAACTCCGACCCCGCGGCGGCTCCGAGCCCCGGGGCAGCTCCGAAACCCTGGGGCAGCTCCGAAACCCTGGGGCAGCTCCGAAACCCTGCGGCGGCTCCGAAACCCGGCGTGGTTCCGAGCCCAGGGCCGGTTCCGAGCCCAGGGCCGGTTCCGAGCCCTGCGGAGCTCCGGGCCTCTCGTTGGTTCCGATCCGCGGTGCAGTTGCGGCCCCCGGGCGGGTTCGCAGCCCCGATGCCCCGTCCCGCAGCCCCGCTCGGTGCCGGTGATGCTTCCCTGGCCCTGCAGGTGGGATTGGCCCCGGTGAGAGTCGAGGTGAGCTCTGAGACACGGGGCAGTTCCGACCCTCGGGGCTGCGCCAGCCCCTGGGGCCGTTCCGGTCCCCGGTCGGCTCGGACGCCCGGGGCAGTTCCGAATGCGGGGGCAGTTCTGTCCCCGGAGCAGTTCCGACCCTCGGGCTGACTCTCAGCCCGGGTGATGCCCCATCCCTCAGCCCTGCTCGGTCCAGGTGCAGTTTCCCGTGCTCCCGCAGGTCATATCAGCCCTGGTGAGACACCTGGTGGGATCCCCGGCTGTGCTTTCCAGAAGGATGGAATGTGAGCTCTGCGCTCCAGCTGAGGTTCTCCTACCTTCTGGAAAAACGGGGCTGGGTGCGAGCTGTCCTACCTAGGGCTGACACAAAAAAAAAACCACCAAAAAACCAGGAGATGATGAGAAACAGGGGTGAAACCCTTTGATTCTGGGATGAGGTTTCATCAGCTGGACTGCTGGTGAAGATGGTGGTATCTTGCTGCAGCAGGGTAGCCTTCTGCAGGGCCCAGCTTTCTCCACACAGCTGGCATGTGCAGGAATTGCTCTGATAACTTGATTTGGGTTTGCCTCTTTGGGGCAATAAAGTCAAACTGAGCCATAGTTAAGACCAAAGAGCTTTAGACTGTTCCTGAGTCACAGCTTGCTTTCCAGAAAAGCTCAATGCTCCCTGGGCAGTTTCCTGGGAAGGTAGAGAAGGCTCTGGGCTGTTCTGATCTACACCCACTGTCCCAAATCTCTTTTGTGTGTCCAAGTTCCTTTGGGCTCGACTGCCTGTGTGGAAGGAGCCAACAATGGCATAGAAACAAAATTACCCCTAAAAAGGGCTATGGAGAGGCTGAAAAACAGATGGAAGTGGGAGCTGAGTTATGTACCAGATATCCCTCAGACTGGTGGGAAAGAGAGAAAATTCATGCAGACAATGGAAAAAGTAAGTAAGAATATTTCTCTGATTATTTCCTTGTTTCCCCATTTAGTAAATGTGTTATGGAGAGGAAGAGGAACAAAGTAAATGCAAGATTTTGGTGGAGGAGAAAAAAAAAATGGGCTGGATGCTAAAACCAACCCCATTCCCCTCAAGTTTTTAAGGAGTTACTGCTGCAAGAAAGTTTGAGCCATTGCCTATAAAGGCAATAGAAACCCCAACCAGGGACCCCTCCTGAGAGATTCAGATCTCACATCCTCGTATACAATCGCGTGACCTATGAATAAAATCCATAGAAACCGGTTCTGTATATCCCAAATAACTGCACATGGCTCCAGCCCAAACCACTCCGGCTTCCCTCACTCCATAAATGATTTTACTAGGGCCAGTCGTGATCTTGATGTAATTGAATAGGTTTCACTCTCTTCTCTCTCCCTCCCCCTCCCCAGAATATTTGTGCAGCTTGCAGAGCCATGTCCAGGGGGACTGAGCTCTTGCTGGAAGGAACCTCTGACTCCAGCTTGCCTCATCCATTCGGGAAGCAGCGTGAGTGGAGCCTAAGCCACCTGGCTTTGGGAAGGAGGGTGCTTTTCTCTGCACCTTCTCTCTGACTCTTAACAGCTTTTAATAAAATTCTGGCAACTTGGCACATTTGAAAAGTTGGCTGCTGCCCATCAGGGATGTATGTCATGAATTCTTGTGCTGCAGATGCCTTTCTGGAATAAATCACATGTGTTTACCTTGGGAACCACGCACAGGACCCCAGGACTTGAGGTTCAAGTATTACAAGGCACTAAAGTGACAAGCAGCTCCTTTAAAAGCACCTGGTTTTAATGGGAATTTATTCTGCACACCCCAATTACTGCTGAAAGCTGTAATTCTTCCAAGCATCTCTTCTCCCCTGAATGTGTTTGGTGGGCCAGGAATCCTGCTAGGGGGGTTTCCATTCTAGGGCGTCCCTGAACAATATAAGGATCCTGCTGCGTGTCAAGGCTGTTTCCAATGATGTCAACAGCTCTCTGCTGATGGGTGTGCTGAGAACCTGCCCCTGGATTCTGCCAGCTTGAGTCTTGGAAACATTTCCAAAGCCTGAAGGAAGGATGGGCAGAGGTGTGTGGCTCTGTGCAGAGTTCCAGGTGTTGCAGGATGGGCAGAGGTGTGTGGCTGTGTGCAGAGTCCCAGGTGTTGCAGGATGGGCAGGAGGTGTGTGGCTCTGTGCAGAGTTCCAGGATGGGCAGAGGTGTGTGGCTGTGTGCAGAGTTCCAGGTGTTCCAGATGTTGCAGGATGGGCAGAGGTGTGTGGCTCTGTGCAGAGTTCCAGGTGTTCCAGGTGTTCCAGGATGGGCAGAGGTGCGTGGCTCTGTGCAGAGTTCCAGGTGTTCCAGGTGTTGCAGGATGGGCAGAGGTGTGTAGCTCTGTGCAGAGTTCCAGGTGTTCCAGGTGTTCCAGGATGGGCAGAGGTGTGTGGCTCTGTGCACAGTTCCAGGTGTTCCAGGCGTTCCAGGATGTGCAGAGGTGTGTAGCTCTGTGCAGAGTTCCAGGTGTTCCAGGATGTGCAGAGGTGTGTAGCTCTGTGCACAGTTCCAGGTGTTGCAGGATGGGCAGAGGTATGTGGCTCTGTGCAGAGTTCCAGATGTTCTGCAGATGCTGGCTGCCAGTTTCTGGAGAGGAGTGAATGCCTGGTGGGGAGAGCACGGTGGAGAGCAGTGGCCAGCCCCAGTGTCACATAATGTCACCATGGAGAGCTGTCATGGCTCTCCCTGCTGACATTAAACAGGCATGGGCTGTTCTGTGTCCGTGAGGTGTGGCACACCTTGTGCCCACAGAGCCAAACTCTCCCTTCCTTTCCAAAACACTGTCCAAACTGCCACCAGGACACTTTCCTTGGTGTCACCATGATATTTTCTGAAAAATCCTGGCAAAGTGATTTTTCAGAAAATATCATGGTGACACCTTGGTCCATGCTGTCCCAGTGAATGAGATGAAAACCACACCACACATAAAACCTATAGATGGGTGCTCTGATTCTTAGCTGACTGGTTGAATAGGTTTCACTCTTTTCAATGAAAAGAGTAAATGTTAGGTGGATATGAAGGCCTATTTCATCCTGATAGCATCTTCAGTGAAAAGTTTGATGGCACAAGTGGGTAATAGTGAGCTATAAGAAAAGCTGATGCTTCATCCACAGATCAAGAACTTTGCAAATCACAGCCCCAGGCTTGTTCTATTTATGCTTCTCCTTTAATGACGTAAGCATTAGTATTTGCTGTGAGGAGAAAAATGGGAAGATATTTGGCTTTTACCTAACTGCTGCTATTTTGGGCTGTGCTAGGGTTCCTGCAGGAAGTGAACACAGGTCCCAGAGCACTGACCCAATTCTTCTGTGACTAAGTATGCTCCATCTAACCTGAAATTCTCCAATGCCTTCTGTTTGATATAATATCCTTTCTTGCTTCCTGCCCTGAACAGCAGCATAAAGCTCTTGTCTGCCAGGCCAACCTGGCTGAGAATGGTGGGTGAAATCATTCCTATACTTAGTTCCCAAACTGTCCAGGAGTGATGCCATCTCAGGGTAAAGAAAAGGAACCAATTACTTACTCAGAGATTGTGAGCTGCTCCTCAGCTGAAGGCTGGAGCTGGGGATGGGCCTGAAGAGCTGTCAGCAATAAATCCAAGCCTGTGATGCCAAAACCTCTGCATGGCAGCACCTGGGCTTGGCAGATCTGCATCAGTTGCAGCTCCTCCTCACCAAAAATGAATTGCAAGTCTGCTGTTTGCTGCAGAGAAGCAGGTGGGAAAGGAGGCTTAGAGCTCTCCCATGTCCCTCTTGCTGTTAGGACCCATGGAAAAGCCACATTTATTTTGCTTAAATATTTCCCACGTGTTCTGAGGTAACTGGGGACTGCCTGATAGACAAACCTGGCACAAACCACACATGTCAGCATTCCTAAGGGGTTTGTGCTCCTCCTCAGAAATGCCCACAGGTATGCAGAGGTTTTCTGGGGACAAACATTTGGGGATGGCTTTTCATCTCTACCTCTGCTTCTGTTTTACTGTCACAATGTTGTGGAGGGGTTGAGAAGGGTGAGAGTTGGGTTCAGATCTCAGTTGCTGTGGGGCCACACACTTCCCAGCCACCTTCCTCTGCATCTCCTGTTGCATGAAATGCTCCCTGGATAATATGATCACCTGCTCTGCAGGGCAGATGCCAAAATCTGCTCTATGAACACCCTCACAGCCAGGTAAGAGCAAGAAGTGATCTCTTGATGGGTTTTGAAACCTTTCCTCTTCCATGGCATGAAATGTTTTTCACATAAAGCCTCCTGTCCACAAAAAATCAACCTTGTGGTTGAGAG